GCTGAACGTTGAGGACTAAATTGGATTCCCGGCAGCTTCGAATCTTGATAATCTCGTCGAATCTTCGTCACCGATCGTTAAAAGAAGAAGAAGAAAAAAACTCTCACTGTCCCGTCGTAAACCTGCTCGAGCTCGAGCTTTCCCTCGCCTATTTCAAAGAAATCCAAATTTTTCGTACCTATCAATCCAATTTATTTGACGTTCATTTGTTTATTTCACGCATACGGGAGAAAAATTGTTCGTTCGAAGAGCAAGTGTTTGTTGGATCCTATTTTTTTTTAATATCGCCAGAGAGAGAATTCTAAAGATTTCTAAGCTCGATATCTTCTCCGTTCCTGTTTCTTCCGCTCACGGGATTTCACAATCTCGGAAATATTTCAAGAGGTCATCGTCGGGCGGCAGAATTCTCAGAGAATTTCCATATTTCTTTCGTTCCTCTCTGTTTCCTTCCGCGTGGACTCTGCGTGGAAATGTTAACAGCCTGGTGCTGCTACACGGGAGAGAATCTGCCGAACCGTTCGCCAGTTTCTCCCGTCTGTTTTCAGAGATTTTTTCAGAAATTGACTTGCCGCTTAACGCTCGAGTCCTCGAGGACTGCGCCAACTACACCGTCAGATATTACCAACGAAGAGAATGAAAAGCGCGAGACTCGCGCGTGGCAGAGCCGAGGGTTGTTGCGCCGAGAAGTTGGGCGTGAAAAGAGGCGCAAACGCGTCTGGTGTCCGGCGACGGTTCGTTGATCCGCGATCCGCAAAAGCGGGTCCCGCCGCCGCGGCCCTTCTCCCGGTTTGCCGGTGACTAAGCCAGACGGGGGAGGGGGGTTGGGCAGGGGGGACCCGGGACGCCAATTATAAGGCCTTAATCGGAAACCCGTCCTTACTTCTGTTGGCTTACACTCGGCCGGAGTGTTGGGTACCACCCGGCCGAGTGAGACAGCGGCCCGAAGAAAAACGGAATATCGAGAGCATAGTCGCTATCTTCGTCGTCGCGCGTCCTCGCGGGCTCCCTCGGATATATACACCCGGCCAACTGTTATCGTATCTCGACGGTTGTTCTCGACGTTTTGGCCAACGCGTTTTCTTCAACGAACACGAGTCTCTCTCTCTCTCTCTCTCTTTCTCTGTCTTTCTTTAGGCATTCAGGACTCTCTTGGGGGTACAGGTTGCACGGTGCGCAAGAATCCGCCGGCTGCTACTTGCTCGAAATCCGCTCGAGAGCTGTTAACGAATTTGCGTGGCGAAACTACGGTGTGCAACTTTACGAACGCAACACGGGGTTACGATCGTGAGAACGAGCTACGAGTTTCTTGGATTTGTTATAAAATGTTGTCCTTCTATCTCAGATAACAACGAGTTTCTTTGATTTATTGTAAAATGTTATTCTTCTGTAATATGTCAGATAACGAGTTTCTCGGATTTATCATAAAATGTTATTGCAAAGTATTTATTGTGAAATGTTGCTCTTCTATGTCAGATGACAACGAGTTCCATGGATTTATTATAAAATGTTATTCTTCTATGTCAGATGACAACGAGTTTCTTGGATGTATTATAAAATGTTATTATGAAACAGGCTCTCTCGTTTTCATCTAGAATTATTGTCGATGGTAGAAATCCATTCTTCATCTCTCGCAATCAGATACATGCAACGGATAGACACTTTTGCTCATCGATCACTAATACGCGTTATTCTTCGATTTCCCAAGGTCCAATAAATATTAGATCAGGATAAAATAGCTGGCCATTATTAACGCTAGAACTATCGACGACTGAAGTGACAAAAATTGAGTCAAAGAAATTCGAACGCAAAGAATAGGAAAATATTGACGATGCGATAATGAACGCGAACTTTTATTCATATGTTATTCATATGAAAAATTATAAATTGGTCATTTTGATCATTTTGATAGTTCTAGTATCTACGTTCAAAATGAAGATCTCTTTTTTTTTTTGCGTATTTGTACATGCTTCGTATAGTATAGTCGACGACCATGAAAAGGAGCGAATTCTTTGAAAGGGTCAAGATCGTCGGTTCCGTTTAAATGACCGCTCGCGCGATTAGCACACTCGCGGGCGTAATCTCGAGGGCGATAAGCACCTCGGGGCATTTAAAAGCCATATCTAATAGTTTACGGGAAAACGTTTAGTCATGCGCCGCGGAGTGTCGCATGGTCTATTGTTATCTTGATGTATCATAACATTGCTATTTATTGGCTTCGGTTAAACAACTCCGCGTGCGGATATTAATGCTGCGTGACGACTAGATTGGCTAATTTTGGGAGTAACTTTCACCCGGAGGGGCCGGCGAGTTCTATCAAGAATTTACGGAACGTGACTCGCGTGAGATACGCCCGCACGGTCCGCAAAGAAACGAGAAAAACGCAGAAACGTTAAATACAAAAATAAATGAGTTTACTATAATATATACGTGCACTTTTCGCTAAAAATAACGTGACACGGTAAAAGTCACCGGTGAAAGTTGCAACAGCGTTATCGATTTTCACAGCGTTTGGAACTAAAATTTCGGAGCAAAGTCGAATGAAATTGAAGATTCTTGAAGAAATTAAACGACGCGCGAGAGACTAAATTTTCGTAAAATACTTTCAAAGTGATTCAAGTAATACGGACGATAACTTAACGACAACGTAGTTAGAATATACAACGAGTAAAATTTTCGAGGAAATATCGTTTTAACATTCCGTTTTCAATAGATAAAACGCGTGTTAGTATTCGAGAGTTAGTGTTCGAATTCGCGAGACCGATAAACGCGATAACGTTTAGAGAGCGAGCGTAGATCAGTACAACGAGAGCCGATGATTTTTCGGAAGCGGTCTCGCCGCTGCTGGATTAAGAGCTCGCGTTCGCAGAAATTTCCACGTGCTATTCTTAGATCGT